CCAAGCAGAAGGACAATGATCAAAATAACAAAAAAGTAACAATCCTCAGAGGGGGTTCAGATAAAATGTAGCACCCAATCACTCCTGGTTGGGTTGCAAAATTTTACAACTATGAAGCTTATGTGGAAATTTGCCAAGAGGATGATATTAAATCTACCATGTGAAACAACTACACCAACATATGTCATATGTCCAAAGGCCTTGACTTCCTATCCCATGGATACTTTCTCAGTCATATTTATAGATGTTCCATTCACAATAGCTAGGAAATGGTAACCATCTAAAAAGTCTTCCATTCAGGAATCGATAATAATAATGGGTTCCCTGTCAACTGTACAACAAAATAGAGATGTAGTTAAAAATGAAATCTTGAAGTTTTCAAGTAAATGATATGAAGTAGGTAATCCAGACCATGATATAAAGCATCAATTTTATTTCTTATATGTAGTTACTTCCTCCTCAGGTCTGAGTTGATGATACTCAGTGAACATATATATCAGAAGATGTGTAGTATGGAGCTGAGGATTGGGAGATTAATGCATGATAATGCTGCTATGAAGATGTAAACAAAATCATAGAGCTAAGGTTCCAAGTGGGGTTGAGGATGATAATTTAATACAATAATGGAACCCTGGTTCAGGAAGTAAATAATCACTTGATTAAGAATCAAGGATTATATTTATATTTTTAAATTTTATTTTGAATTAATTATATCATGTTAAAATCTAACAGCTTGTACATTGGACATAGGAATTCCTTTAGGGAAAACATCAATGTCTGAACAATTTATTGTGAGATATACAAAGAAATGGAGAAGAGAGGTAAACTTTGTTAACCTTTATATATTTGGCAAAATGAGACCAATTAGTGAAGTAGCAAAAAAGAAGAATATATATGGTTTTAGCCCTGAAAGAACAGTGGGAATAACCAGTGCATTTTCCAGCCATACAGAAAAGGTAATAGTGTGGGAAGAGAAAATAATAAAATAAAAAGTTCTAACTAACATCATCTGGAATGAATTGTGAAAATTCAATTTGATGTTACATGAATCCTAAGCA